CAAGGCACCCATCCTTTACTATCTATAGGCCAGTCCAGAGTTTGAATTGGCGGTCATTAAAACCAAGACTGGAGACAGATGGGCTGAGGATTTAGACTCATGCAATTTATAAAGTGCACTCTTAATTTTGCAAACTTCGAAATTCATCTTACATTACTAAGAAAGAAGAAGAAAATAAAAGGAATTAGATGGGCCCCCATCACTTGTGATTGTAGAAAAGAACCAAAGTGACACTTGAAAATATGACACTACAAATCTAACAGAAATCACAGTGCTTGCCTCAGTGGCATCATCACCTTGAAATACTATCCCTCCTCCTAAAATGAAGTGATTGACACTAATGAATTATCAAAGCTAATAAAAAAAAAAGATCAAATCAGCATTGTCTGTTTTTTAAAGAACAGTGGGAAATTCTGTCAACAACCATTTGACATTTAGTGAGACAATCAGGAGGTGGCAACAAGCCACAGAGTTCGAAATTACATTTCCTGCTGGGTCTGGTTGCACTAAATAAATGTGTACGTAGCCAGATCAAATGAACATGACTTATACTTTATTTGGTCATTTGTCGTTTTTACAATCATGTTAATAATTACATCTAAAATTCTGGCAAAGAAAAATAGCAGATATTAAATTAAAAGCATCAGAATTATATAGTTGTTAATTATTTTGAAATGCTATTTTTGCATTAAAAAGTGGATAAAGTGAGAAACAGTAAACTTAGTAAGATCACTAGTTCTCACTCCTTAGTCAGCTTCCAAGTTCAAGGGTGTGGTGATACTTATTCTTGACACCTTCCCTTGCCCCCATAAACTCGTACCATTGCCTTGTATGTGCGTTTTTTGGACATACTTTTATTTGTCACAAATACATCTGAAGCTTGTCAGTTATTTTATCAGTCACTATTTATACTATATCCCCATGCACCATGTATAAATATTCATTCTCTAACTATTATGTGCTTGGCATTGACCCAATATTAAGAGCCAAGGTCACTCAGTCAAAATGAGCTTTCAAGAACCAACCAATAAATCAACTCAAACAAATTATTCACTGGTAAATTATTCTTTTTTCTGGTGGTTGTGAGAATGATAGAGAATGGTCTGCTGCTACCATAAACTGTGTAATAAATAAACAAGATGGCTGGTTGTCAAGGGGTAAAAATTACACTGTTGAAAATGCAATTGGGTTTCAGAGACCTTCATACTTATACTCTCTGCAGTAAGGAGAAACAGTATTTTATAGTTCAGCCTTGAAGGTCTTTCTTTTTAAACTGTAATTGAGAATTTAAGACTAATCACCATTAACTGTCATAGCAAAATAAGAAAATATATCAACAATTAAAGCTTGTATTAAGCAGTAAAATTATATGTTTCATTTAACATGCTACAGGAACACTGTTTAGATAATGAAGTCGTCTAGCATTGTAGTTAGAACTGAAACTGAAATATTTATTTAGTTGTTGATAAGTGGTGTCCATTATTTACACATTAGTACATTAAAGTATTCTATTTTAAAAATAAGGTTACAACCAAAGTAGTCAAAATAGAACAGGTAAAACAAATAGCCTACAATTTAGCAAATATTTGAATAACCTTTTACTATAGTACAAATAATTCAAGTAATTTTGAATCATGATAATTAAAATACAAAAATGTATAGCTTAAAGGTGACAACTCATATCCCCTTGATCAAATACTTATACGCAGGTCATGGTAAAAGAATATTTTTTGCCCATTTTGGGGGTTACATTTTTGTTGTTGTTTTGCTTTGTCTTTTTAGTATGGGTACATCTCAAGTCTGGCCACATCTTTCAGAGTGAAAGTGACAGGGAGACCCAAGTACTTTCACATCAAAAGAAACAAAACTCAAAAATAACCAACAACTAAAGAAGAAACGGTCCAATATAACAGCAAGAAGCCAAAATGCTCCTGGCTCATCCAACTGAGAACCTGGGATTTTGGGAAGAGGTTCATCTAGACTTTGCCATGTCTGGCCTGCAGTGGAAATCATTGTAGAACGACTGCAGTTTGTTTTTTTCCCCCTGTAATTACATGCTTTGAGATATAACTGTTAAAGAAAGGATTATTAATCTCATCTATTTTCAGACTGTTTTCTTTACCTTTTTGCCTTAACTGAAACCTGGCTCTCCCCTGTTGATATTTCTCCCACTGCAGCCCTCTCAGGCGGTAGCTCTTTTTTCTCCCACACCCTTTGTACCACTAGCCATAGAAGAACAATATGAGGTGTCTCTAAGTTGCTGCTCATTCTCTGAAGATTTTAGATCCTGGCTCAGTCACTCTCTCTTAAAAGAATTACTCCTATCTTAGTTCTTGGACGACCACATTCATAACTAAGGCAACATCCTCCACCTTATGCTGCTTCTAGTCAAATAAATCATTCCAGCAATTCTTTCACTCTTCTAGATCAAATCTTCACTCTCCATCTGATCATTCTCATCAAAATAAAAACATGCTAACCATTCTCAACTCCATGCTTTCCATCTACCATCACCTGTCCCCAATTTATCACTTCCCATTCTCTTTTGAACCCCTCTAATCAGACTGTTTCATATACCATTCTACTAAAATTGTTTCTGTTGAGCTCACCAATGACCTCCAAATTGCTAAATCCAGCAGTCAATTCTCAGTCCTAATTTTTTTTAACCTGTGGCGGTATTTGACAGAGTGAATCACTCCTTCCTCTTTGAAAGCGTTTATTCACTTGGCTTCAGGTTATCACATTCACCGAGTTTGTCTCTTACTCTTTGCCTGCTCCTTCTTAGTCTCCTCCTCTGATTCCCCTTTTCCCAATTTCTAAATTCTCCTGGAGTGCCCAGAAATCTTAAACCTTTTCTGTCCTCTATCTGCACTCAACCCCTCAGAAATCTCATTTGGGACAGCTCTCAAATTTATATTCCCACACCAAATCTCTCCTCTGGATACAACCACAGTCAGTTCTGCTCTTTAACACTTATTTTGAAAATACAAATTTACTCCAAAGTGATTGATATTAGGGAACAGTTTGAGCATAAAGCTAACTTAAAAATTGCTTTGACTTATGCAAATTTTTTTCTACCATGCATGTATATTTCTCAGGAGAAGAAATTTTAATTTTGTTTTATTTGTTTATTTAGTGGCTGGGTTTTATGTTTTTGTTTTTTTGGTCATATAAGTGTACCAGGCATACAGTAGGTGCTCAATATTTGTTAAGTGAATGAGTAAATGGGTTCAAGAGATCCTGTAAAGTCTATGGGGGTTATATGCAAAGCTTTTGGTGCAAGTGTAATTTTCTGAGGAGAGAGACCATACTTTTCTTTGGATTTTCAAAGGGATTCCTAACTACACACAAAGAAACAGAGTAATAATATAATTCTAACAATGACACTTTAGGACTTTGTTCTGACCTTCAGAAGTAGCCTACATTACTTAAAATGCTCATACAGGAATGATAATGCTATAATATTACTTATGGATTCAAAAAATAAACCCAATTATTTAAAAATAAAATAGAATTTAGAATTTAAAATGACAGTATTGTTATTGCTTTTGGTTTTGCTGGCTTTGTTTAATTTTTAAAATATCTCTTCATATCTTTATTACAATGGTATTAAATATTTATGTAGATTTGGACTCAGAAAAGCAACTTGTAAATCATTCATAATTCTATTGTATAATGTTTCTATTTCATAGTATACTCCTTGAGGCTCCTTTCTATGCATGAGAATTATTCTTTATAGATGAACAAATCTTTATGTAATACAAATAATAGTCTCCTCTTTTTGTTCTTTGAAAGTTTTAAGTATAATATGCAGTAGCAACTGAATTTTTAAAGTGAAAAAATGAGAACTAAAGAAAAGCAAAACAGTCTACAGAAAAAATAAAACAGTTGCTTAAAAGAAATCCTTGCAAAAAATATCTTATTCACAGAAGTCTTTAACCCTTTATTTATGCCCATATTGTTCTTATTTTGTAAAATACCATATACTTGATTACTCAGTTTCTAAGAAATATTCTAGGAATAGAAAATTACAAGTGGAGAACAGAGTAACTGCTACAGATAGTGACACTCATGACAATAAAAAGAAGAAGCTTGACAAAAGTAGAAAAAATAGAGACTAGCTTAAATATACCAAAAGCAGAGCAATATGAGGCCATTTAGCATGGGCGCAAAATAGCCCTAAACAGCTCAATTGCGCCCAAGGTCATGGTTTTACACAGCCACTATAATAAAAGTAATAAGAATCACTGAGAGAGAAAAATATTGTTTTGTAGTAGTCTCTGGATTAAGAATCAACCCAGGTAGTCAAAATTTAAAAATAAAAGTAATAAAGTTTCAGATACTAGAAATATTTGGCTCTTTAGAGTGATCCATTTTCCAAGAATTACTACTTAAGTTCTACACTGGAAATATTGGCTTTTATATTGAGAAATACATGTCTACAAATGATCTGATAGTAAGATGTGTGGCTCAAAGAGGAGAAGGAGGGTGCATTTTTTTAATTACAATATTGCCCTTTGTGTTTGGTGAATGGTGACAAACTGGAAGTTTAGGTGAAAGATTTGTATATAGATAAAGGGAAAATAAAGATAATTATTAGGTGGTGTTAGAATTCTGTACAGAGAGAGATATTCAAACAGGAAGGAACTTAAATAGAGACTGTGGAAATAATTTCCTGGTTTCCTCCTTGTCATCCTTAATCTAGGATGAGCCAACACTTCAGTCAAATGGACCCAGCCCATACTTCATGGAAACCAATCCCAAAGGACAAACTTCTGGGCCAGTCTTGTTTCAAATGACTGAATATTAGGTATACCTCATTCTTGTTGACATGGTAGCCAACATTCTTCTAAGCCCTTCTCATGATTGTCCTCTATAGGAAGGGAAATGCTACATTGCCATAGCTAGTAAGATAGTGGATAACTTTACCTATTCCTTGTTCACAATTAGTTGAACAATTATTCATTTGCTAAAATTACTATAATTCAAAGAAAAATTACCTTTAAGGCTGTTTTGAACTTCTAAAGCTATATCGAGAGCATTAAATGGCAGAACTGGTTCGTTGGCAATTTGTAAAATCACTTCTCCTGAGAGCTGAAAGAAAAAGAAAAAAACACTAGCAATTAATATTAAGGGTTTTTTTTTTCCATGATTTCATACACTTTTATACACTTATCTAGAGTAAGAAAACACAGAGGGTAAATTTATTTTTATAAAATCTCTTTTTCTTTTAAAACTTTTTAAAACTTTGTTTTCCTGTAAAGAAAAAAAAAATCTTCAGTATATTTTTCATGTTTCAGAATAGTATAAGGAAATATAATATTTTCCCTTTTGGGCTAGAATATTAAGAAATAGCTTCCCTAGTTGAAGGAGTTGTAATATGTAAACTTTAAAACAATTCCTTATAAAACAGTTCAGAATGCCACATGATAAAACAATCAAGAACAACTGCAAATCAATAGCTGATTATTGGACCAAGTAAAATTCCAGACAAAATTAATGATCCATTTATTTCATGTAAGATATAATTTAATTTTAAAAATCCTTTAAAATCCACATACTATTTTCCTTCATGCTTTGCTATATTCGTAATCAGCTTTCCAAAATTTAATACCACTTATACATCTTGGAGATCAATGTTTAAATTAAATTCAAAAAAATTTAAATGGCATCCCCCAAACTCACACCTGGAATTTTCACACATGCATATGTCTCTACCACTGCATTTCAACTGTGTCTGAAAACCAGCATATGTACTACAGCTGAATTAGCATCTGCTTAATAGACTGAACGAGTCATATGCATTTTTATACATCTCAAAGGAATTTAGGGCTGGTGGCAAATGACATTGCTACTCGCCCATCCCCAAATGATATTTAATATTTACCTCGGCTTAACAAATGTCCCTACATCTCTTATAACACTGAAGCTGGCATGCAGGGAAATCTGGCTGTGTTGATGTTATTAATGCACTATGAAATGTTAGTGAATGAAAACATTGTCTCGTGAAACTACACAGGGGAAATTAGCACACTAACTTGAGATGGTAAAGAACACATAAAAGAAATAACTTACAAAGAAAATGTGATGTTAAATATTCAAATCTACATATTTAACAAGGGTCAAATTCCACTTAGTATTTAAAAGTTATATTTCCCAGTTGTTTGAACAATTTATATCATGATGAAAGTACAATTCAATTTGGTTCTTCTTCTACCTGCTTGAGGAAATGTATTTCTTAGGAGTAGGAAAATGAAACACCTCTGAGATCCTTTTATTTCTTTGAGGTATTTTTTTCCCAAATGTAACAACCACTTCTCCCCAAATGTCTAAGGTACTTTTGCAGCGTTTTATCCCCATCATATGATCACAAAAATCCTGCGAAACTATCTACTTTGATTACGCTGTACTTTAGGAAAAAAGCATTGTATGCAATATGTTGATATGAATCCTGTTTCTATCCCACTCTACCCCAAGCGAATCATGCAAAGAACACTGATATTTGGAAATAAATTATTTGTAAAAGGAAGGTTTAAAGAAGATTAAGAGGCATTATGGTTTCTTTTTCCAATTTGCCCTGGAGAATAGAAACCATAAAACAGACATGTTTCATTTACACTTTTGGAATCTGGAAACCACACATTACATAAGATTAAAATGAAAGAACAGGGAGGGAGGAGAAAGGCAACTTCTCTGTGTGTTGCTGAAGAAAGTTGTTTTGTTTTGGCTTTCTGAGTCATTTGGCAGCTAGAACAACTGGAATATAAACCAGCCACCTTGCTATGTCTCAAAAAGGAGCTGGCAACAAATACTGGGACTTCCAAGGCACCTGGCCTACAATAGAATGTTTCAAGTAAATCAGCTTTATTTGCAGCTTCATAAGCAAGGGGGAGATTTGTATACGCTTTGCCATGCAGTGAGAAGAGATGAGCCATACTGCATACTCTTCTTGCCCATTCTGGAATTCACTCTTATTCAGGCATGCCAAAGTAACTTTTCCTTATATTTACATAAGGCCCCATTCTTTTCAAAATGCTTTATATTCATTTCATTACCTCATTTAATTATCCTGCCAAGCCTAGAGGCAGACAGTGATAGAATTAATCCTGTATTGAAAACACTGAGTATAAACCATATTGGGTTGTGGTCCAAGATGGTAACATAGGAAGTTCCTAAATTAACCTCCTCCCATAGATACATCGAATATACAGCTGTACATGAAACAATTCCCTATGAAAAACACAGCTGAGTGACTCCTACACGTTGGAGGAACAACAAAAAAACCCACATTGAAATGAATGAGAGGCTGAGACACACTCCTGCCATAAAACCCACCCCATCACAATGACATACAATAGGGAAGAAACTCCCAACTCCCAATTTCTCCTTTAGGAGAGAGGGGTTTAGACCCAACATCTAGTATCCCAACTTTTAAGACTTCCATCCAAGGCTCAAATCCCCAAAACATCTAGCCCTGAAAGCCAACAGGGCTGTGTCCACAAGATATACAACACTACAGCCAACAAAGAAACAGTTCCTAGTGGACTCAAGAGGACTCACTGTGGTTCTCTACCTATAGCTTAGTACAAAGGAAAATGTCCATCTCCCAGCCTTTCCCTGAAAGAGGCCTATTTGAATACTTTAAAAGTTGCTGCCTGAGGGTCATACCTCTAATTTAGCTCTAGGGACAGAATGCGATCCTCCCTGGAGATCAGGGAAGCCAATAGATTCCATCTCAGCATTCTCCCTGTTTATTTGCATATTTCAAAAGCTGCTCCCTGAGAGTCTGGCTTCTAATTAGCCTGCATCTGGGTGTTGACTGAGATCTTCCCCTTTGGGACACTAACAGGTATTAGCATACCATTGACTACTGGGAGCCACTAAAAAAAAGGAGGAGGCTTGGACAATCACAAAGGTTTGAGATACAACTAAGAGCTAGGGCTGGGCTGAATGATAAGCTTCATACCACACATGAGACCATTCTTCAAGAATGGAAGAAGTGGCTGTTTCATCTAATTCACAGAAACCAACACAGAGAATCCGAGAAAAATGAAGAAACAAAGAAATAAGTTCCAAACAAAAGAACAAGATAAAACTTCAGAAACATACTTTAATGAAATGAAGATAACTGATTTACCTGATAAAGAGTTCAAAGTAACATCATAAATTTGCTCACCAAAGTCAGGAGAACAACACATTAACAAAGTGAGAATTTCAATAAAGAGAGAGAAAATATATGGAATACCAAACAGAAATCACAGAGCTGAAGAATACAATAACCAAACTGAAAAATTCAATAGAAGATTCAGCAGAAGACTAGATCAAGTGGAAGAAAGGATCAATGGACTTGGAGACAGGGCAGTGGAATTCATTGGATCAGAGGAGCAAAAAGGAAAAAAGTGAAAAAGAGTTAAAATAGTGTAAGGTACATATGGGACACCATCAAACACATCAATATTTGCATTATATGGGTCCTGAAGAAGAAGAAGGAGAGAAGAAAGGGGCAAAAAGCTTATTCAAAGAAATAATGACTACACCTGAAACTAACAAAATATTGTAAATCACTATACTTCAATTAAAAAAAAAGAAAGAAAGTAAAAGGAAAACAGTAGGACTAGATCACTTTAAAAAAAAAGAAGAAAAAGAAAAGAAATAATGTCTGAAAAATTCCCTCTCCTAGGGAA